ACCTTCCGCTCTCCGGGCGGACGCTCTAACCACTACACCACGGAGGCGGTCAATTAGAATAAGAAGTGAAACAATAGCATATACAATAAAACAAAAAAGTCCATTGACAAAGAAGAAAAGTCACTTGAAAATGACATTAATAAGTTATAATCAATTTATGACATCCTTTCAAATGATACCTAAAATGAATTAGATGAAAAAAAGGATAGATAGGAAACCATCCGAACTGAAAAAACAAAAGGATATATATTGAGAAGCAAGGCTAAATGGTATGAAGATGGTGAAACACAGAATAGTTCCTGAATCTTGAGAAAAGAAATTATATCAATAAGCATATGAAAGAAACAATTGATACTAATGACAAGAGTGTAACTAGAATTGGTGATATAGTTGTTGAAACTTCAAAATATTACAAAACTTATATAGTGGCCAGCAGGATACCAACTGGGAATACTATGCACGCCAGTTTACCAATGTTGATGTCAAATTAAATCAGAATGAGAGAAACAGCTGTGAGGGTCCTGTTACACTATATGAATGTGCCTGAAAAATCGAAAGAGTCCAGGATCAGACGGTTTTCCAGCAGAATTCTACAAGTTCTTCTGGAAAGATATAGGAATTATTCTCCTTAGATCTATAACACATGCTTTCTATATTGGAACTTTGTCAAATTTTCAACACCAGGGTATAATAAACTGCATTCCTAAAGGAAACAGGCACAGGCGATTCCTAAAAAACTGGCACCCAATAACTTTATGAAATGTAGACTATAAAATAGCTTCTGGAGTAAAAGCAAATAGAATCAAGAATGTTCTACCAAATATCACGCAAACATGCTTTTCTTAAGGACCGATTCATTGGGGAAAATACAAGAATATTATATGATATCATGCATTACTGTGAAATACACAAAAAACAGGACTTCTTATAACAGTGGATTTTGACTAAAACGCCTTTGACACTGTAGAGTGGCAATTTATAGATAAAGCACTAGAAGCATTCAATTGTGGACCTTCTCTCAGACAATAGATTATATTGTTTCAATACAATAGTAACAGTGCAATAATACGCACAGGGCACATTTCAAATTATTTTAATTTTGAAAGAGTCTGTAGACAAGGCGATCCCATCTCCCCCTATCTATCCATCATTTGTGCAGAATTATTATCCATATCTATTAAAAATACTTGGATAAAAGGTGCAGATGTTAATGGTTTTGAATATCTAACCTTCCAAAATGCTGATGATGCACCTTAGAAGGATCACAGGAGGGACTTTCAGAGCTTATTGGAACATTACAAGATTTTGCTAACGCGTCTGGTTTAAAGATTAATCGACAGACTTGAAACAAATGATTTCCTTGAAGTTTGATACATAAATTAATAAAGCAAGACAGATCTGCTTTTCCTGGTCAAAAGGATTACTAACATTAAATCGTAAAATATTATTATCAAATCACAAATAATCCCTTTATTTACACATCTATTTTCAGCCCTTCCATTGCCGGACAAAACCTTCTTTAAATCGCTAAACTCAATCTTGTTTAAGTGTATTTGGAATTGAAAACGAGATAAAATAAAAAGAAGAATGTTGATGAATGATCATTCTGACGGAGGACTTGGCATGGTTGATGTTAAAGCCTTTTGTAAATACTTGAAATTGAAATGGATTAAACGCCTGACACCAAAAGATGACTTATGGCAACACTTGGAAAGATGTTCGATGGTAAACCTAGATAATGTCGATATCCTGAATTTCCCAAAGCATCAATTGAAAAAGCTAATTAAAGACATCAAGAATGATTTTGGAAAGATATTTTAACTATTTATAATAAGTTGCAAACTTAAAGATTAGGAATATTGACGAATTCAGAAATCTCCCCTTCATGAGTTTTTGTGCCTTATAAAGATATTAAACTATACATCAAATGGTATCAGTGTGGAATTAGATATATTCGGGACCCATTGACTGATTCAGGACACTTAAAAGAATTCAATGTCTTGAAATACGACTTCAGATTAAATGACAATTTCATTTCTGATAAGACTGATAAGTTTCATACCCATGTCTGATAAGACTGATAAGTTTATGATCGGATCATAGGTTTTCTGACGTCACGTTTTCGACAGTGTTTACCCTCACTATGACGAGGCGGGTTGCGTCACACAGATACTGTAAATACTCGGATGATGGCTTGTGTTTAAGATAAAGTTGTCTTTAATGACTTAGTGACATGTTTTACAATTGTTTATTTGATAATCGAGTGAGTGAGTGAGTTGGGTTTTACGCCGCACTCAGCAATATTCCAGCTATATGGCGGTGGTCTGTAAATAATCAAGTCTGGACCAGACAATCCAGGGATCAACAGTATGAACATCGATCTACGTAATTGGGATGCGATGACATGTGTCAACCCAGTCAGCGAGCCTGACCACCCGATCCCGTTAGTCGCCTCTTACGACAACATGGGTTACTGAAGGTTCATTCTAACCCGGACCTTCACGGGTATTTGATAATCGAGAAAGCAAGGATGTTCTAATCGTCCGAAAACCCATAACACGCCCCGGATGTATATCATAGTCTAAATATAGGTTGTCTATTTCGGGTTCTGCCTAATCTTCAACCAACACCGGTTACCTCAGGTCGAACCTAATTAACCCTGTTTGCCACAACTGTGCTGCCACGGTAACCTCAGTTGACCCAGGTCACACAAATTTCAATAATAACGCACCGTCGACAGAGAGGACGCAGACGGGATTTCCTGATAGAACTCTTTATTAAGCAATGTATTTTCGTTATTTTAAGTGTCCGCTAAAAACAGAAACAACTGAATGGCCATGTTCTAAATCCGCGAAAGAGCTTCGAAATCTTTGGTCATGTGACGTGCATTAGACGCTGTAATTGTGGCTTCAAACCCTAACACACTTCAAGTCCGGCTGTCGTAATACGGATTGTGTAACACCGCAGTCAGTAAATCTCGCGTGGTATCGCGGAAACACGCCAGCCACGTTAAGATGGGATCGGCTCCCATTTTATCAGAGCTATTGAGACGTCCTATAATTCAATAGCGCAACATGTTGTGGACTCAACTCGTAATCTGTAATAACCGAAAACATAAATTGCAGAGATACAGACACATGAAAAAAAATGTTAGTAAAAATACGCTCAAATGCTGCGGAGGAAAAGTCAAACGGTGCCACAAGATTCCATTGTAGCAAGGAAACGTAAATGTCAAGACCAGCTTTAAGAATTTCAGTCGCAGTTGCATTTGTGTCCAAAGCTGTATTAAGCACTTTATATCCCATGTCATGTACGGTCATTAAAGGGCGATTGTAAGTGGTTTTCTGTGGGTGGTATACATGTATTGCATTGCAGCTATCTTAACATGGAGCGTTTACATCATCACATCATAAAGCTTGTAATTACATGATAAACACAATATGAAAAAGGGGATGGGTGGAGGGTTCTTGTTTTGTTTGAGAAAAGTCAATGATAGGATAAAATGAACGGATGTCTAAACTTTGATTGCACTCAGAGGCATTAGAGGTACAGCATTTACATCATTATATACATCTTAATGTACAAGGTGTATAATATGCGTTCACAAGCAGCGAGCACAGATGCTGCTGTACAGTATTCTATTGTAATGTTAGTAAGTCTTTTTAGTTTTACGCCGCTTTTAGCAATATTCCACGAATACAACGTCGGAGGAACCAGAAATGGGCTCCACACATTGTACCCATGTGGGGAATCGAACCCGGATCTTCGACATGACAAGAGAACGCTTTAACCACAGGGCTACCCCAGCACCTATAGTGAGGTTATATAGTAGTGAGTGAGTGAGTGAGTTTAGTTTTACGCCGCACTTAGCAATATCCCAGCTATATGGCATCAGTCTGTAAATAATCGAGTCTTGACCAAACAATCCAGTGATCAACAGCATGAACATCGACCTGCGCAATTGGGAACCGATGACATGTGTCAACCAAGTCAGCGAGCCTGACCACCCGATCCCGTTAGTCGCCTCTTACGACAAGCATGGGTTACTGAAGACCCCTATTCTACCCCGGATCTACACGGGTCGAGGTTATATAGTAAGTAATGATTTCGCATATTTTTGATAACGGGTCCCTGCAATGTCCTTTCTCCTCCCCATGAGCTCTCATTCATCTGCTCGTCTGGGTCCGTATTTATGCTCCATTCTCAGCTTACTGAGAAGTATTCTCAGATGCCATAAAACGATTTTCTTTTGTTTGGGACCGTCCGTTACAAATTCTTCGAGTGCACACTAAAAAGTGTAAAATGCCTCAGGTTTGCAGCCAAAGATTGCTGAACAGGGCCGATGACCTGAACAAATTGTTTTGCTCCTCCTTGCAAATGCATTTATTGACGCAGTGTCCAGTTAAAGTATCCTGTCTCTGACCTAAAGTATGTTATACACCTTTGGAACCACTATGGAAACTGGAACGCAGTGATACACGTTATATCTCAATCCATCAAAGGATAGTGTAGCTTATGGTGGGTCTCCCAGTCTCCTCAGAAATAGTTTCGTTCTCGTCTATATATTGATGACTGGGGAAGATGCCGTAGAAGAAGCCGAAATTAGAAACATAATCACTGCGTATCCGATTGGTTGGTTTGTTGTTTAACGCCGAATTCAGCAATATTCCAGCTATATGTCGGCGGTCTGTAAATAATCAAGTCTGGACCAGACAATCCAGTGATCAACACAATTGGGATACGATGACTTGTGTCAACCAAGTCAGCGAGCCTGACCATCCGATCGCCTCTTACGACAAGCATGGGTTACTGAAGAACAGTTCTAAACCGGATCTTCCCGGGTAAAAGGATAGTGTAGCTTATGGTAGATCTCCCAGTTTCTTAAGAATACTTTCGTTCTTGTCCATTATATTGATGACTTGGGAAGATGCCGTAGAAGAAGCCGAAATTAGAAACATAATCACTACGTATATGTAATTGTCATGGTCATATTTTTGCAGCATCCCCGACAGCGAGCCCAGGACCTGGAAAGTACAACGTGAGCAAGGAGATCCGTAACAACGACGACCCGGCTTTTTCGATGGGGTCAAGGACACATGTCCAGAAAGGTAAATCCTCAAGGGCTTAAAATGTTTGTTTGTTTGTTTGTTGTTTCACGCAGCACTAAGCAATATTCCAGCTATATGGCGGCAATCTGTATATAATCGAGTTTGGACTAGACAATCCAGTGATTGACAGCATGAGCATCGATTTACGCCACTTGGATACGATAAGTGTCAACCAAGCCTGACCGCCCTATCCCGTCAGTCGCCTCTTACCACATGGGTTGCGAAGACCAATTCTGACCCGTATCTTCAATGTATCTCGGATGCTGCCTTTGTTGTGTAATTTGATTTATTTATAATATTTGTAAAATTCATTTTATGTGTAGACGATAACGTTGTCGTGGGGCTGATGGCGTCGTAGTCGACGCAGGTACTACAGATACGTACAGACATGTACCCTGTCAAAATCAGAATACAGAATGAGGATGAGTCCATTCCGAACTGTACCATGTCTACGTGCCGACAATGACCCCTTCAGCGGTAGTTCGTGTTTGTTTGTTTGTTTGTTTGTCCCTTCTTGCTTGATGTTTGATGCGTGGTTTAACATAGACGTCAGGACACAGAAACATCATACCCACTCTGTGAGGTTTTTGCAGAATTTTTGTCCTAAAAATAAAAAAGTTGTTTAACAAACTATCATTAAAATATCGACACAGTTCACTATTTGTTACGAGGGAGGAGTGCAGAGAAAGGGACAGCCAGGTGTTCGAGAACGGATGGAGACGGCACAGCACAGGTTAATGAATAAATAACTTTGTCTTTGAACGTGCTTCTCTAACACCTGGCTGTCCCTTTCTCTGCACTCCTCCCTCGTAACAAACAGTGAACTGTGTCAATATTTTAATGATAGTTTGTTAAACAACTTTTTTATTTTTAGGACAAAAATTCTGCAAACAAATCACAGAGTTGGTCTGATGTTTTGATTATGATCAGCGTTTCATTGAGTATTTTATGTTTATTAGTTTTCGAGTTAGATTGCAATTCATCGGTCCGCTTTTGAGCCAAATATACAAGTGAATCCGTGAATATATTCGAGTATGACGTAAGCATGCATGTCAGCCAATCGATTACTTTCAACACTAGAACAAGTGTCACTTAGAAAGGTTTTTTAACATCGATTACAACTCTGATGATTTACAGGCCACAAACCTATAACTAGAACATTGCTTGAACAACGAAGCGTAGACACAGGTTATTGTAATCGACTGGTGCACTAATTCCCCCATGTACTATATATAATGAACTCAAACTGTTTCGTATCTACGTGTCCAAATATACTTACGTCAACCACAGATTCGAACCCGGTACTGACGTATTAGTCTACGGTTGTATTACGCAGAAAAAGCCCGTGCAACAATATCCCGCACTTATTGGCCCTCGGTTCCTAACGAATTTAACCTGTTTATGTCTAAGTATCCAAATTTACCTACACGATCCCGTCACAAACTCTTGAGAAATACCACGTGACCCCTTCCCTAGACTTTCAGCATAACAAGGTCGGCCTGCCCAGAGATTCCATCGTTCCCAGGGCAGTTAACGCAGGAGGGGCGAAATTGGTTCGTTCGTTTCACCCACTGAACTACCGGTGCCATTGATTACTACTGCTCCAGTTGTCTCGTATAATCACAGAACCAATGCATTGAAAGCAGGTTTGTCATACAACGCTGGGAGACTTCATTGAATTCCACCCACGTGGCCTGGGTCGTTAATAACATACCTGATGACCCTTCATTGCCCTGTTGGTGCTCTTTGTGTGTGCTTGTTTCGATAAGGTTGTAGTATACTTTAGTGTATGGTTTGGGAAATAGTTCAATAAGCCAACCAGGCGCAGATAGGTGAGATGATATGAAATACGAATGAATTTCATTATCTCGATTGGGTAAGCAGAGAAACAGGTAAAATGGTTCAAACGAGCCCTCTTACAGGTGACGAGTTGTCTCCCCGGATCAGCTGTCACTAACGGAGGAGGTTTAGTCTGTCTCAAAGTCCCTGAACCACATTATTTTCCCAACTGCCAAACCCTATCTGTAGTGCTAAAGCCCTAAATAAAGTCTAGGTTTCCTCAGGTTCTGAATCTCTGGTCTCCCTGGGGCTCCTTTTCAGTTTAAATTGGTTTTTGTTACTGTCAAAATTATGATATATATTCAGAGGCTAATCGTTAGTCTTCAGAAGGTTGTGAATGGTTCGATCGGGCCCCGTCTATCGGAAATCTATTTTTTCTTTTGAAAAACATTTACTATAAAAAGACACCACGTTAAATAATTGTTATGAATGTCGTAATGACGTAATTTTTAATCCGAAACGTGTAAATCTCACTTGGTTGATCGGCACCGTCTAGAACAATGGGGTTTGTCTGCCCTCTGTGTGGGACCTGTGTCTATCAAGTACAACCTGTACGTGTTATCATACTGTGCGTGGCGTACGGGTTATCATACGGCGCATGATATACGGGTCATCACTCGTTATATGGGGTGCGGGTTATCTAGCAGTGCATAATATGCTATTTATTATCGGTACATACCATACGGGTTATCGTACGGTGCATGGCGTACGGGTTATCACATGTTGCATGGTTATCAAGGAGTACGCAATATGTGTAGTGTATAACACGGTTTATAACATTCGTGATTTACGGGTTTATGTGGTTCATGGATTACGGGTTTTCACGCGGTCCATGATTTCCGAGTTGTCATCCACTGCGTGATATACGTGTTATCATGTGGTGTTTGGCGTACGTGTTATCATACAGTCCATGATATACTGTTAATCACAAGCAAGACTACATGACTAGACTTGCACAAGTCTCCAAGGTAAAGATCAATAGTTAAGTATAAATGTTAATTTCTAAAATATAATAAATAACAGACCGGGGCCTTGTACTGTCCGCTTAACTAGACTTGCCTCTTCGAAGGATAGAATTACTATACATCCGTGGGTTCAGCATTCAGTACAGCCTTGGAGCAAGGCTAGTTATATGACATACGGATTATCATACATCTACAGCTAGATGTGCTATAAAGGCAAATTACCGATTATCCTTAGATAATCACAGCTAAAACCTAAAAGATTACAGATGTCTAAAACCAATACGGTTACATTAACCAGAACCCACGTCACGTCCATAACGGCATATTGTTGACATCATCCTTGACAATGTATAACTTCTCTCGTTGCTATAGAAACCATTTTTATAGCCATCTAACATTTTGTTGAAGTAAATGCTGTACGTTTTTCCACCTTTATTTGGCCTTGGTGTAATGTTGACTATAATCAACGCACTGATCGACCAATAACAACAATAAAACACATGTAATCCATCATGCGAGCAGGTATTTTAGATACAGGTTGGGTGTGGTAAATAGAGCGTTCGTTTGATAACTGATTGAAATTAGTTGTGAAAGAGAGGTAAAGGGGACATTTCATGTTCAATACAGGAATGCTTTAGATGCGGGTATTAAGGTAATTAAAATGGGGAAGCGGACACATTTAAATGCGTATTAGTCGTCCAAATGTCCCATTTTAACCCTTTGTTCTGCAATAATTCATTCTTAGATCAAAATAATTGATTATATGGCGTTGCTAAAGTACAGCTTTAATGTACAAGAATTCAGGCTGAACAAGCGTTGGAATTTTCAGCCATTTTTTACAAACGGTTGAAACAAAATGTAAAACATTGAAACAAAACGAAAGGAGATTCCAAACTAGAATCAATTCTGACATGGTACGCGTCTCCAGAACGATATTGTATATCGATGTATCGATTGACGTAAAGTTTCTAAAAGCTTGTGCGTTTCTATGAAACTTTAAATAGCGTAGTATATTATGTGTGAATGCTATATGTGATTAAACATTACGAACATGGAGCCAATGTATTGTTATAAAGTTTCACCCTTTTAACGCCAATCAAGTTGTCAATACTTTACATTTCCATGTGTCAACATCATCGTCATCACTCTCCTCAGATGGCTGCACAAAATGAAAGACGCCACTAAAGCTCGAGACAGTTTATCGTAAACCGTTCTGAGGTTTAAACCGGAAACGCAACCGTTCCATGACGTCACTTCTATCTGTGCACTCAAAAAGATGTCGATATTAATTATATCTCTGGTAGTGCAACATGAAAGCGTACAGCCAGCCGACATTGCTTCCAGCACGTCGGATGACGTTAAATTAATAACGCTATATTTTCTCTCATTTGTCCTTCCGCTTGTCAAATATTTGCTTATGTTTATTCAACCTTTCCAATAATTGTTTTGTACAATTAGTTATACGGACGGTGTGGTGAAATAACAATGTGAAAGCACAGACTAAACTATATCATCAATCCTAAGCGATTCTCACGGCGGTATTTCTCTTTGCTGATGTGTCAACTGTTGTATTAAATGGTAATGGACTCTAACGACTTAACCCAACAAAGGACAAATAACTATATCAACTGTGTTCCAATGGCTGTGTTAATGGCGCGGTTTCGATTCGTCATTGATATATCATACGAGCTCACGTTCACGAAGCGCAGTCCTAATGCCGTTTTTTATCATTTGTTTTAATTGATGAATGTGGTTAAGTTGAGATTGTGTTTAACGTCGCGTGTTCAGGATCATTGTACTTACATGGCGACGTGCACGCACATGTGTGTGCCTGAATGTGGAGAGTGTGTACACCTATATTCAAAATAAAGTGCCCCTCTATCGATGTTTGACATGTCGTGACAAGGTTGAGCTCTACAACCGATCTCGACCAACACGCGATTTAGTTAGCGTCTCATGCGGGATAGTTTTGATATTTATTTTGATCAGTAGTGTACCAGTTATGCATCTGTAACAACCTTGATTCCCATCGCTGAAGTCTTTTCAATGACTATGCCTTATTGCCACGGATCGTACAGGGCTTTCACACATATCATTGCTCGGAAAACTCGAAGTTTTCGAAAACTACAGTACAAGTATTTTGGTACAAGTAGAGTTCCAAGTACCAATTGCACCGTACATGAGCCAAATAAATAA